AAACATGTGTTACCAAATATTTGGTTAGGTTATAAATGGAAATGTGGTGTACCTAAACGTTTTTGGTTTTTCGTCCCCAATTTGGTAAAAAAATACACTTACGAAATTACTTTGTTGCACGGTTTGTAGACACTACAGTAGCCTCATTCCCGTTTTTAAGAACATAGTGACGTGACGGAATTAAATAGCGAATTGAAAGCAAAGTATAATAAAATGGAAGTTACTTCTAAGAATACCTGCCTAGATGTTTAAGGTTTTTTATAATAAACTGCTAGCTATTTTTTCATATTTAGATTTTACATTTTTTGTAAAAGTTTGTAAATAGGAGAACCAATACCAAAAAATCTGATGTGTCCAACACATGACTTTCCTATCTAGTTATTATAGGCTGTTCAGGTTATTTTGCAACACCTCTATAAATGTTTAGAGGATAAACTAAATATATACATTTTCCACATACATCTACCTCAAAACATTTTTCCATAGATATTCATTGAAAACGAAAATACTAAAAAATTTTAATATAGCACTTTTCCTACAATTTTTCCATTACGGTCTATTTTAGAAAAATAATGTTTAAACAAAAATATAAAGATCGATATCGCAAACAACTTTTAGTTCAACAATTTTCTTAAAATTCAGAATTTTGCACATTTTGTCAAATTTCTCGAATACGGACTATTTCAAGAAAATTTGGCATAGAACAAAAATTATAGATAATAATATTAGCAGTAAATTTTATTTAAAGAATTTTCTCCTCCAAACATAAATAACAGATATATTTCATAAAATATAAAAACGGCCTCCCATAAAGTACCCCCCCCAGATGTTCCGACTTTGTCCAAAATCTAATCATTTTACGTCAGGCCGAAATAAAACTTATGTTTAAAATTTAATGTTTTTTCTTTATCCGTTTTTGAGTTCTTCAAAATTCGAAATTTACATATTTTCTCAAATATCTCGAATACGGTCCATTTTAGAAAAATTATGTATAGAATAAAAATTATAGAGAATTATATTGCAAACAACTTTTATTACAACAATTTTTATCAAAAATTATTTTTTTACATTTTATAAAATTTCTCGAATACGGACCAATTTAGGAAAATTTTGTATAGAACAAAAATCATAGATAATATAAAAAGTAACTTTTATTTTAAGAATTTTCTTCTCCAAATGTAAATAACAGATATATTCCATAAAATATTAAAATGACCACCTATAAAGTACCCCCCCAGATATTCCGACTCTGCCCAAAATCTCATCAGTTCAGTGGACGCTGAAACAAAGCTAAATTTTAAAATTTGGTGTTTTTCTGTGTATTGGTTCATGAGTTATGGGACACGCACACGCACACGCACACGCACACGCACACGCACACGCACACGCACACGCACACGCACGCGCACACGCACACGCACACGCACACGCACACGCACACGCACACGCACACGCACACGCACACGCACACGCACACGCACACGCACACGCACACGCACACGCACACGCACACGCACACGCACACGCACACGCACACGCACACGTACACGCACACGCACACGCACACGCACACGCACACGCACACGCACACGCACACGCACACGCACACACACACACACACACACACACACACACACACACACACACACACACACACACACACACACATAATTGCAAAAATAGTCAAAACGGATTCAGGGGACCTCAAAACGTAAAAATCCGTCGAAAACTCGAGGTCAAAAAAAATCATGATTTCTATACTTTCCTTATATCTATATACAGATAGAAAAGTAAAAATGTTTGTATGAAGCGTATAAAATTCAGAGTTAAACTTAGAGTGAAAGCATGCACATTATTTGTCCTGTATAAAAAATTCTCAGAACTTTTGTCCTCGTTCACTCACAATTAATGAAACACTTTCAAATGCGTTTTTTTTAAAGACTGAACAGTTTTGCAAATATGTAAATTTGATTGGAATAAATATAGTATTACTCAATAATTGTACCAAGGTACTACTAGTCTTTTGAAATAATTATTTTATTTATACAAAAACTAACGTCATTGAATCCACTATAACTAATTTACCTTCATCTAAATATCACGAATGTGCTCGTCGTTATATTCGATTAACCATAATATTTAACTATACTAACTACTTACCATTCTATGTCTTTGTTTATAAAGATAAGTTAGGTCACATCCCTATTGTAAACAATATAAAGTAGATTAAAATTGTATTTTGGAATAAAAAAAACTAACAATATATTCATTATCCGAGAGGCTCCTTAATAGGCTTATAAGGGATAATAAACTGGTGGTTGCGTCCGCTTAATCCCTAAAAGTGAAATTTACCTGATACTTTTGGTGTCGTGGTCGAGATCGGTTGCAGCCATTAAAATAGGATGCCACGTATTCCCGCACCAATTCGTTCGTCCACTTACTTCTTCGTCGCTCTTGGACAAATTTCGAATTCGTGCGGGTATAGCCTTCTGCAACGTGTGTTTTATACTATTTTCTCGATTTTGGGCTTTATTTACCGTTTTCCTTTTTAATTTTTTTGTAATCGTTGTTAGTTGGGAATTTTTTTCGCATAATAATGTCAGTTGGTAACACTTAGTTACTAACCAACTGTCAGATGAAATTTATTTACTAGCAAAAGGCGTTTTCTTATATTCAACCAAACGATAGACTGATGAATGATCACGTAACCAATAAATTTCCGATTGGTGCAATCGTGATTTTTATCTGATGAAAATTATTTAAGAGGAACATAATACCCTGTCCAAATTTCTAAAAATCGTATCTTCTAAACCGTTAAAGTTTAAGGCTTCAAATTTAAGCATAGTAAGATGTAGGTATTTTTCTAAGGCTGTATGCATTGCCAACAATGAGTCTCTAACTATAATTAAAATACGACCCTAAAAATCGAAAAAAAAAAGATAGTTTTCAAAACCCATGCACCCACACCTCAGTTATGAAAAACTAAACACGTCTGCGGAATTTTATTTGTTAATTTACATTCGTTTCGTATTATGAATTTTTTTAAATCTAGTAATTTTTCGTAGTTTTTCGTAATTTTTCGTAATTTTTCGTAATTTTTCGTAATTTTTCGTAATTTTTCGTAATTTTTCGTAATTTTTCGTAATTTTTCGTAATTTTTCGTAATTTTTCGTAATTTTTCGTAATTTTTCGTAATTTTTCTTAATTTTTCGTAATTTTTTGTAATTTTTCGTAATTTTTCGTAATTTTTCGTAATTTTTCGTAATTTTTCGTAATTTTTCGTAATTTTTCGTAATTTTTCGTAATTTTTTGTAATTTTTCGTAATTTTTCGTAATTTTTCGTAATTTTTCGTAATTTTTCGTAATTTTTCGTAATTTTTCGTAATTTTTCGTAATTTTTCGTAATTTTTCGTATTTTTTTGTCTAAAATGTGGTGCCCTCTTTACGACCACTCACCGGTGTACAGTCAGAGAGACAATACAGTATAAGGTGAAGATGCGTCGGTGAGATTCGATGCGTCCATCATCATCATCGATTACATAGTTAGAGCTTAGAGCAGTGGTCGCCAACCTGTCGATCGCGAGCTACCGGTAGCTCGCGGAGGTACTTCTGGTAGCTCTCACGATTTTAATTTAAAAAATACAAACTGCAAAAATCAGAGAAGCTTCCGAAAATTCCACAAAAAAATCTAATTGTTATAATATTAAACATAAACAGCGGCAACGTTGCGGTGAGCGATCTGCCGCTCACTCCATCAAGCTAGAATCGGCTAGAACCGACCAGCCGGACCAGCGCGTTGGTGTTCAAGAACGATCAGGATTGCTTTGAGCGGGATAAATACGCACGGCGCGGCGACATTGCGCTTAGTTTAAAACTGAACGCGTAACCAACGTGCAGCGTCCAGGTTGGGTTAGTAGAGAACAACAAAAAATAATAATATGGCAAGCAGTTGTAAGAAGGTAAAGACATACCACTTTCATTCGGAATGGGAAGAATAATACTTTTTTACAGAAGTGAAAGATAAAAATGTGTGTTTGTTATGTAATACTTCGGTCTCCGTTGCTAAAAAAAGGAAATATTGTGAGACATCATAATACTGTACATTCTAATTTTGAAAAATCATTCCCACTACATTCTGCCGCCAGAAAGGAGAAACTGAAACAGAAAATCAGTTAATTGGACAACAATAAATATTTTTAAGAAGCATCGTACCGTGTGTCCCAGATAATTGCACAAAAAAAAAACCTTATGAAGACGGGGAAATGATAAAACAGGCGTATTTAGAAGCTGCTGATTCGTTATTTGCCAACTTTAGAAATAAAGACGAGATAGTTTCAGCTATAAAATCTATGCAACTTTCTGCTAATCCAGTGATGAGACGTGAAGACTTAATGAGCAATGATCTTTTTTTACAGTTGTCGTTGACACTGCCCAGATGGGCGTGTTCGTCAGAATGGTTTTTAGTGATTTTACGATTAAAGAAGATCTTTTGAAGTTTATTCCACTGAAATGACACACTACTGGACAGGTGTTGTTTTCTCATTTAAAAAATATTGTTTCTTCCGACGGGGACCTACTCCTTCACTCTGAAGTCCGATGGTTAAGTAGAGGACGGGTGCTGAAACGTTTTAATGATGTCCTATCTGGCATAGTTCAATTTTTCAAACAACGCGATGAACCGACTCCGGAACTAGAAAATTCAATCTGGCTTAGAGATTTTGGTTTTCTCGTGGACATTACAGAGAAATTAAACGGACTTAATTTGCAGCTTCAGTGGAGAGAAAAAGAACTAGCGGAAATGATTTCTGATATAAAAGCATTTATCAAAAAGCTGGAGTTTTGGGAACAAAACCTAATTAATAGCGATGCCAAGCATTTTCCTATTCTTTCAGAAAAAATATCTCAAAAATCCATTAGAACCCTATGACAGCAAATATCATGTAGAAATAGTTCCTACCCTGAAGAATAACTTCAAAAATCGTTTTAAGGATTTCAACGAAATGCCTTTAGTCGCGCAGTTTTTTGTTTCACCCTTTATGGAAATTGATATCCAACAGTTTGCAACTTGCGTTATGCAGAACTTTGGCGAAGACATCGGTGCAAGAAAAATGGAAGTAATTGAGTTTCAAAATGATTTAGCCTTAAAATCGTTAGTCTCAAGTACCAAATGTATCTGGCTTATTGTAAGTAAAGACAAATATTCAGTTCTATGCCGTGTTGCCTTGAAAGTGAAAGCATTTTTTAGTTCAACCTATTTGTGTGAATCTTCTTTTTCCAATATGAAGTTTATTAAGAACAAATATCGCATCGACTTACAGATAAACATTTGGATAATTGTATTCGAATGGCTGTATCAAATTATACTGCAAATATTAAAAAAATTATCGATGAGTCTGAGTGTCAGCCTTCTCATTGAACGTGCTCTTTTATTTGTCAATGTTTATGTTTATGATAGTGCGTTACTTTTTTTGTTGTTGTTATTAACTATTTTTAAATCTTACGTGACATGCTGCTGTGGCTGGATAAAAGTTTGTGTTTATTTTTCAAACACCTTCGTTTGGTAGGTAGGAATGTAGCTATGAACAAGTACGTACTAGTAATATTAGTTATTTTGTTATTAGTTTATTATTAGTACCTATGTACTATGTATTAATTATGTATTAATAGTAAAATAAATACATATAATGATAAATAAATTGTGGATTATTTCATTTACGTTGCGTTACGTGGCTTCCGTGTGGGTAGCTCGCTGTTTATTCCAAAATTAACAAAGTAGCTCAACACATTGAGAGGTTGGCGACCACTGGCTTAGAGCATGATAGATAAATAAAATTGTATTTTTTTTTTTACCTGCTCGTGTATAAATTATTGTCTTTTAAAAACTAGTGGACATGCTGAATTAATTATTTTTATATAATGCGATATATAAAACGCCGCTTCTGTGTCGGATTTATTGGTTAGTATTATTTATGTAAATAATAATAAAAAAAAAAAACATTTTATTTATTTGTTTATTTACGTTTATATTTATAATTATTCTCTTACCCAAGAAACATAGCTTGTATCAGGTTATGTAAAAAAAACCATGTATAAAAGTTAGGGTCTAAAATATAATTTAAGTACATAAAGTTACAAACTATTTTTTGTGGCCGATTTTGTAATTCAGTTTGGTACCTATGTTGCGTTAACATTTCCAAAAATCAATAATCTGAACTGGAAGAAAAGGGATGTACAGAAATGATGAACTACTATGATACCTAGATATTGTTTTACTTAGTGATTTAAGACACGTGTGTTGTTATCTCTTTGTTGAGTTTTAGCGTACATCGTTTTTGTTTAATATCTTTGTGATACATTTTTTATTGTATTGTATATAGTTTTAATGATTTGTGATTATAGCCACATTATAGACACAAAATACACACATAGACACATTATAGACACAGTGCAGTGCTATTATTGATGATCGTTTGTTTGATTAATACATAAAAAATGGGAAACAAACGCCAGCGTTTGAAAAAAAAAAAAAACAGAAACATTTTATTGAAAGACATAAAAAGGCGTTAAGTTAAAAAGTTGGTACATTTTTCAGTTAGGTAATAGGTATTTAAAAGATTTTTAAGCAATAAATAATTTTTGTAACAAATTATTTCTTTTTAAGAAATCTTTTATAAATTCCTACATAGTGAAAATGAGAACAAATTATTTATTTATAGTATAATGTTTACAATATTATAAAAGGTTTAAAAACAACGAAGAGGTAATTAAACTACTATATTTTGGGTCATAATAAATCAATCAGTCTTTAATGCATTATCTAAAGTATAGCCATGGGCGTATGCAGGAATATGCAGTAATTTGTTAAGGGGGGGGGGGGGGGCTGTCCTCCCTTGTACACGCCTATGTGTATAAAAATGATAAAAATTAAGTACCTACAATATTTCTAATTTATAGTCAGTAGAAGAACCTTTTTCCGTAGGTTAAAAAACTATTTTGGACATTATTTATACTTAAGTACTTTTATTACAGTAAAATTAATAAATGATCAGTAAAATTAATAAATGATTATTAAAATTATATAAAAAAAAAATAGACAAAATCAGCCTTTTTGTGACCAATCTGTAAAAAAAATGGGAAAATTTTAAATATATCCAAGCCAAAAGGTAGGTATCTAATAACAATTAATTATTAATTTAATAGGAATATTTAGTAAATAATAATTACTGTAAATGTCGTTTTAAATAGTGTATACGTATACGTTTTGAGGTCCCTGAATCCGGCTTCGCTATTTTCGCGATGATGTTCGTGTGTCCGTATACTTGATAACTCTGGAATGAATAAAGAGAAAAACACAAAATTTTTAATTTAAGCCTTAATCCACCCTGAGGTGACCTGATTAGAATGTGAGCATAGACGGAACATCTGATGGGGTACTTTATAAAGGTTAGTTTTTATAATTTATGGAATATATGCGCTTGAAGAAAAAAATTCTTCAAATAAAAGTTACCAATGCTATATCATTATCTATTTTTTTTTGTTAAATATATAATTTTCCTAAAATGGTCCTTATTCGAGAAATTCGACAGAAAGTGTAAAATTCCAATTTAAAAAAATTATTTTCTATCATTTTTGTCCCGTACATCCTGAAAATGAACCGTGTTCGGGATATTCTAGAAAAAGTACAAATTTCGAATTTTGAAAATAACTTAAAACAAATATAGAGGAAAGCGCCAAATTTTAAACTTAAGCTTTAATCCATCTTGCGGTAAGCTGATTAAATTTTGGGAATAGTTAAAGGATCTGGGTGGGTACTTTATGTGGTATCCTTTTTTTTACTTTAACGAATATCTCTGTTATTTACGATTGGAGAAAAAATTCTTTAATTTAAAGTTCTGTCTAATATAATTTTCTATAATTTTTATTTTATATATAATTTTCTTCAAATGACTCGTATTCGATAAATTTGACAAAAAGTGCAAAATTTGAATTTTCAAGAAAATTCTTTAAATAAAAGTTATTCTCTATACATTTACAGGGGTGATACAATAGGTTGTACAAAATTACCGAACAACACCTGTAGTAACTAGACAGGAAAGTCATGTGTGGACATATCAGATTTTTAGTGCTTTTTTGTTAATTTTTCTGATAATATATTAATTTTACTGACAATTTTACCAACTATTGAAATATTAGTACTGACAAAGTTAACTGGTCAAAAAGTTAATATTTATTTGAACCATTATCTTTATAGGGCAGCAAAGTCACGCTGGGGACACGAACTTTATGATTTAAATAATGATGAAATAGTAGTCAACAGTAATCCGTACAATGTACCGGTTGACACAAATATTTTGAATGAAGACATTTTATTAGATTTGGAAATAGAAGAGGAACTTCCTAACAAAACATTCACCTTAGAAGGAAAAAGGATTATTAACATTGGCTACTTCTTTGAACAGCTTCAGAATATTCAGCATTTGCCAAGTTTTGCCTGTTCCTTGGTAAATTGTCAAATTATTAATGAAGTAACAAATGCTTCAAAATTTATAGTAAAATGCAATATGTGCAATGAAAAATTTTCGTTAAATTCACAACAAGCAGATGAATTGTATGTAAACCTGGCAGCAGTACTTGGTAAATATATCACTCAAAGTTATGTAAAACTAGCAATTGTAACATGTTACACAATTGCTGTATCACCGTGAATCTATTCAAAAAATTAACAATTACAGGATCCACGTCAAGCGGGTGCTGATTCTCTCAGCTAGAGCAAATGATTAGTACTCTAAATATACCCGCTATTCAATTGGTAAATATAATTACTGCAGAGCAAACTGAAAGCAATTATTGAAAACGTATTGTTAATGCAATTACATTTGGCAGGTGAAGAAGAGGCCAAAATTGCCAGAGACAAAGGAAATGTCGATGAAGACGGGTATCCGTATACAGGGTGTCCTTTAAAATGTGTCCCAAAATTCTCAGGCAGATTCCTTAACCAAAAAATGGAAAAAAAGTTCCCATAGACCTATGTCCTAAAGTGCCCCCTAAGCGAGCAACAGCCTCTCGAAATCATTTTTTTTATTTTGATTTTTTGAATTTTCTTAAAAATGAAAACAAATAAAAGAACCAAATTTTGGCTGTTAATTATGATCAATAATAGTGACCTTTTGACACCTTCAAAAAGAAATTATTTCGTCAGGGGTGTACTTGGGAATTTTTTGAAAATTTTGATTATTCATAACTTTTTTGTGATTTTGGTAATGACTTATCCATATTTTTTTTTACATTCTACATTGAAAACTACGTCAAAAAGGAATACTTGTTTGATCTCGATTGGAGCAGCCGTTTCCGAGAAAACATCATCCAAAGATATTCGTGCAGTTTAGGTTAATTTTCAATTTTGGCTGTTGTAGCCAAAAAGTTGGAAATCGAGGAACACGGCTTACATGTCCCTATCCTTACTTTTGAAGGTCTATTCAGTGGCAAAAAATATTAGTTGATACAGGGTGATCAAAAATCGGATGTGATTTTGGATTTTTGATCACCCTGTATCAAATAATATGTATTTTATGTCACTGAATAGACCTTAAAAAGTTAGGATAGGGACTGTAAGCCGTTTTCCTCGATTTCCAACTGTTTGGCTACAACAGCCACCTGAATTTGAAAAAATGTGATTTTTGAGTAGCTGTAGATCCTTTACTATTCATATTAGATAACAAGTGTGATATATCATTGAAATCAGATTATCGAGCAGATTCTCAAAATATAAAAATATACAGGGTGTTCCATTTAAAAAACATAACTTTGATTTGGCACGGCCTTATGAAACACCCTGTCACATCGTAACTAATTTTAAAATGTGAAGCTTAAAGCTGCCTACTTTTATTATAACAGATCTACAGAGCTTCCTCACACTAATCAATCACCCTGTATACTATTTTTAGCTCTCTAAATAAAATTTAAAAATTTAGTTCCCATTTATTTATTATGAAGACCATAAGGTTTGTATTTAGAATAAAAAAGTAAAAATATGTATTTTTTTGGCGTTTTTGTGTTTCATGGATAATTTTTTTCGCTCACTGATAAAAATGTTTCTTCAGTTAAACATTTTTTCTAAAAGTGTTCTGGTGCGATTCGTTGTATTGTTATTATTTTGTTTAAAATGGCTCACAATAACTACAATAATGATTACACATTCGGCGAAATGACGGACATGCACTTATGTTTTGGACTCGCTTCTGGAAATGCCAATGAAGCTCGCAGACTTTATCAGGAGCGCTTTCCAAATAGGCATCTTCCATGCGCTAAGACGTTTTCTAGAATTGACGATAGACTTCGGGAAACTGGTTCATTTAAGAAAAACTCTAGTAACAGTGGAAGACAAAATTATGTGAGAACTCCTGCTTTGGAAGAAGCAATTTTGGATAGGGTAGCTGAAACCCCATCGACAAGTACCAGAAAAATAGCAAATGGTAAGTAATTACTTATTTATTATTTTAGCTACCCCGTACCTTATCGTATAAAACTAGTTTTTTTACTTGTTATTGCTTCTCTTACATTTCACGACTTTTCGTATCGAAAAGAGTTGCGTTATGCAGAAAAAATCTGATTTCCCAAATCAATGGATTCTCTTTCTTAACTATTCACTACACAGATTCTCTCATTTAATTTTAGAAGTGGGAGTCGGACGTAACACGGTATGGAAAGTTTTGCGTGAACAACAATTGTACCCTTACCACATTCAAAAAGTTCAGGCACTTAAAGCTACTGATTATGAGCCGCGAGTTATCTTTTCTGAATGGTTTCTTGGAAGATGTAATCAAGATGCAATGTTTCTTAATAAAGTGCTATTTACCGATGAAGCTGGTTTCACTAGAGATGGTATAATAAATTTTCGAAATATGCATGAATGGGCTGAAGATAACCCTCACGCGGTTGTTGAACGTCACCACCAGGATAAATTTTCAATAAACGTCTGGGCTGGAGTTATTGATAATTACCTTATTGGACCATTTGTTTTGCCGAATAGGTTAAATGGAGCAGCATACAGGCTTTTTTTGGAAAATAACTTACATGAGCTTCTTGATAATATTCCGATTCAAATCAGACATAACATGTGGTTTATGCATGATGGAGCTCCACCACATTACAGCCTTGAAGCTAGACAGCACCTTAACGAAAGATTTGAGGGTAGAGTAATTGGCAGAGGTTGTCCTGTTAACTGTCCACCTCGTTCACCAGATCTAAATCCAATGGATTTTTTTGTTTGGGGTTATTTAAAATCATTGGTTTATTCCAGTCCTGTTGAAACAGTTGAAGAATTGGAAGAACGAGTTTTTCATCATTGCGAAGTTCTTAGGAATAATCCTGAAGTATTTTTTCATGTAAGACAGTCTATGATGCGACGGTTGCGCTTGTGTGTGGAAACCAATGGTCGCCACATTGAGCATCTGCTTTAATTTTTTTTGATTTGTTTTTTTAGAATAAATATTTTTTTAAACCGTTTCTTATTATTAAATAAAAATAGTCCCACCACGACATTTGAACTACAATTATTTAGAGAGAGCTAAAAAAGTTATTTTTATTTACGAGATTCACCGAGGTAATTTAGGAAAATTGAAAATTAAGCTAAAGTGGACGAATATCTTTGGATGATGTTTTCTCGGAAACGGCTGCTCCAATCGAGATCAAACAAGTATTCCTTTTTGACGTAGTTTTCAATGTAGAATGTAAAAACAAATATGGATAAGTCATTATTACCAAAAACACAAAAAAGTTATGAATAATCAAAATTTTCAAAAAATTCCCAAGTACACCCCTGACGAAATAATTTCTTTTTGAAGGTGTCGAAAGGTCACTATTATTGATCATATTTAACAGCCAAAATTTGGTTCTTTTATTTGTTTCGATTTTTAAGAAAATTCAAAAAATCAAAATAAAAAAAATGATTTCGAGAGGCTGTTGCTCGCTTAGGGGGCACTTTAGGACATAGGTCTATAGGAACTTTTTTTCCATTTTTTGGTTAAGGAATCTGCCTGAGAATTTTGGGAAACATTTTAAAGGACACCCTGTATAACTGTTATGGCAGATGGTGCTTGGTTCAAAAGATCTTACATATCAAATTATAATGCTTTGTCCGAAGTTGCAGTGATAATTGGGGAAATGACAAAAAAGGTGTTATATATTGGCATTAAAAATAAATTTTGCATGTTCTGTGCTAAATACAAGGAAAATATTCCCAATCGTTTGCGCAAAGAATAATTGGACCGGTACATCTACTTCTATGGAAAGTGCAATTATCGTAGAAGGATTTAAAAGAAGTGTCGAAATGCATGGCATAAAATATTTAAAGCTGGTTGGTGATGGCGACAGTAGTGTTTCGTAGAAACTTCCATTGGAAAAGCCCTATGGGCTGAAGCTTATAGAGAAAGTGGAATGTGTCAACCATCTTTTGCGAAATTTCTGTAATAAGCTACAATTTATAAGCAAATCTACAAAAAGCGCATCTTCTTTGAAAATAGTTCCTCTTAAACTCCGAAAAAAAAACTAGAAAATAGTATCCTGAGGTTTAGAACATCAATTAGAAAATCAGCTGAACACTGGAAAAAAGTGATATTACAGTATCTGAAAAAATATTAAAACTCCAAAAAGATGTGAGAAATATTGTTAACCATATACTTATTTGGAATGCATGATTTCTGTGAATTATATTTTTGTGAAAAAAATGAAAAAGCAGAAGAAGAAAATTTAGTTCCTCTTATCACTAATTATGGTTTAATAATAGATATTAATAACTGTTTGCGAAGGGTGTTGGAGAATAAGTCGTTTTTTTTTTTAATAAACAAAAATAATAACCCCGCCGAACATTTTAATAGCCTAGTCAACAAATTTGTTGGTGGTAAGAGAATTAATTACTGCTTTAAATCTTCGTACCAAACAAGCTGTAAATTTCCTATAATTGCAAAAAAAAATACATTAAAGAACTAATTAAATTTACCTAAAAAAAATTGTTGAAAATATACTGAGCAATTGATGAAAAGAAAAGAAATTTCTAGACTCAAACATTCTAAAATAAGAAAGAATAGGAGTTATAGGGATAAGCGAATAACAAGAGCAGCCAATGCAGATCAAAATTATGTAGATACCGAAGAAAACATTTCAGAAGAAAAAAAGCCAGACATGAAAAATTCTATAATACCATTCAAAAAACTTCAGATGAGATTAGGCAGATTGAAAGGCGTACAGTAGGACAAACCAATAATCCTTTATGGCAGCAAGAACGTATGTATAGAACAACCGCGTCTAATTTTGGAAAGATATGTCGAATGAAGCAATCAACAAACCCTTCATATGGTACATTTAAGGAAAATTCGGCAACTTAATATGGAGAGCAACACGAAGCAATTGCCATAAGTGACTTTGAGGAATTAACTGGGATTACTGTCACAAATTGTGGTATATATATATAGGACAAAATGACGAATGCTTTCTTGGAGCGAGTCCTGATGGGTTGATAGATTTTTATTTCTCCATTTTAAAAGTGAAGTGTCCAGAAAATCTGAAAACAATTACAGTCAGGGAAGGTGTCAAAAGTAAAAAAAAAATATTTAAAGTTTACTTAAAATGGAGAAAACCATCAATACTTCTATCAAATTCAGTGACAGTTACATTTAACCCAGAGGGACTCGTGCTATTTCTTGATTTG